CCTGTTGTTGAAGCTTCCTCCATTCGATATTAATCTTTTGAATGGTTTGTAAGTCTTGAGGGTTAGAAATTTTCTTGGCAATTTTAATATTCGTGACAAAGGACTTAGACAACTGTTTCAGCTACGTTTCTTTAGAAGGTGTATCTTGCATATGACTAGACCTGCAAAATCATTCTTTTTGTACTTTCATATAAGATGTAATCAAGAAACACCTGCCACGTCCATAAAAATCCTTTATATTCCACATATATACGTCCATAAAATCCTTAATAAAAATATTAATTCATCATCTTAATCATTAATAAATATTTTGCGCGTACCAATTCTTAGATACATGTTATTAGTGTTGATAAATATTGTAATAATATCTTGAAGATCAATTGTTTTAACATTAGTTAGTCTCACATGTGGCAAAGAAAGAGAGGTGATGTATACCATTAAAAGGAGAAAGTTGGAATATCTCGGACATAGAATGAGAAACAGCACTAAATACAGATTACCGAAGGGTAAAGTATTCGGAAAGCGAGGATTGGGAGAAGGAGAATATCATGGTTGAAGAACCTGAGGAAATGGTTCTCCACAACAACAACGAATCTATTTAAAGCATAAATTAATAAAATAATTATAGCCAGAATGATTGCCAATATTCGGAACGAATAGACACTGAAAGAAGAAGAAGTCTCACATGTCGTGGGTTCGTACAAGTAAGCAGTAGTTCTTTAAACATTGTGATCATTTCGCTTTATAAATTTGTGATACTTACTTTATCGCTTTAAAAAAATGTATTTAAATCCACAAACTTTGGCAAAACCCATTCCAAAATTAGGTAAAAAGTGTCCATTTCAATTCATCCAGAAGTTTTAAATTTATTTTACTTACGTTGTTTTAAGGTAATAAGATTTAACGCCCGAGAAATGTTTGTTTTTATTTCAACATTTGTATGTGTTACACGAGATATTTGAGATAAAAATTTAAAGAGATTTTACTAGCTGAAATAATCTTATATTTTAGTATTATGGTATACGTACCATGATACATTATAGACAACATTAAAATTATCGTATGAAATGCTAATAGTCATAAATTCGATTAGAGACACTCTGGTCTCAATATCGGCAGCCTTGGAGAAATATTTTTTGAATAAGCGAAAACATAATTTTATTAGTATCGGCATTGTACATCTCGCTAATTTTGTACTACTTACCTTAATTTCTTTTCATGTCTATAATTATATGAGTATCAATTGTTTCGCCGAACGTTTTCGCCAAAGAGAATTAATTTGGTTTCTTCAGGGCTGAAATAGAAGAAGTTATAATTAGCTACCATATATTATCTATTAAAAAACACCACATCTTACCATAACTTGAATTGTAGGGTTGAAATGTTAAAAAACTTAGCTAGTAACAACATAGTGGTGTTTTTGTTACTATGTGAAAAAAAATTTTACCGTTAGAAATGTATGGTAGCTTTGAACTTAAAACGCAAAGGTGTACCCAATGTTAATAAAAAAAAACCAATGTAACTACATTTAAAAGGAATTAATTTGTTGAATTGTCGACAATAACTAAATTTTTGATCGTTTGAAAGTTTAAACGTGACGTTCTGTTTTATCAGAACGCACGTCCATAACGAAGGTGCTTTACCTTCCTTCGCGACTAACAATGCTGATCCTGATGTCTTAAGTGGGAACCTAGTCGTGGATACTCCTATCAACAAATATTTTTCATTACCATACTTTAGAGATATCACTCCGGAGTTAACAAGGATTCTGAAAAGCGTTGAAAATAGCTTTGGTAATAATAATAACAATACTAAACTTAATGTGGCTTGTAGATCAGCCCTAACAATTATTAATCTTTATTCTAAGATCAAAGATAAGACTCTCATAGATATGGTTAGTAACATTGTCTACAACATTCCATGCCTCTCTTGCAACAATTCCTACATCGGCCAAACATCTCAATTATTGAAATCACGTATCACACTACACAAAAGTGATTCTCGACTTCACCCTGACCGCTGTGCATTAGTCAAACATGTACTTTCCACTGGTCATCTCATGAACAATACAAACATCACAATTCTCCACCGTGAGAACAGTAAATCTAAAAGAGATTTCATTGAAATGTCATATATTTTGCTTAACGATTCCTTCGTCAATGTTAAGAGTGACAGTAAGAATCTAAGCGATATATACCACTTCTTACTTAATTCAGATACCAAGAACAATACATCACAGATAACTAATTTGACTGATATATCCATTAAAAATTAACCTACTTAAATAATAATTTTTATTACTTAAAAAAAACATTCCCTTGTTTTTCTTAGATACATCTTAATAAGATATTATAATAATATTACTTGAACAATATAATATAATAAAAAATATTTCAATTAAGAAAATCTAAATTAATAACATTTCCCTAAACTGGGATTTAACTTCATTCTGTTTTACAAGTGAACGTTAACGACATAAATAATCATAAGGACTACTTTGAATTGTCAGCGCATGCGTCTTGATAAAACAGAACCTCACATTTAAACTTTCAAACAATCAAAAATTTAGTAATTGCCGATAATTCAAAGAATTAATTCCTTTTAAAGGTAGTTACATTGGGTTTTTCGATTAACCTTGGGTATACCTTTGCGTTTCAGGTTCAAAGCTACCATACATTTCCAACAGTAAAATTTGTTTTCACATAGTAACAAAAAAACCACTGTGTTGTTACTAGCTAAGTTTTTTAATATTCTAACTCTACAACTCTAACTCTACGGTAAAATCCCCAGTGTTTTCTAATAGATAATATATGGTTGCTCATTATAATTTTCCTCTCTTTCAGGTCCGAAAAAAGCCAAATTAATTCTCTTTGGCGAGAACGTGTATATATATATATATATATATATAATATATATATATATATATATATGTGTGTGTGTGTGTGTGTATTGCCTCATTGCAGCAGAGGCCGATGCTAAAAGTTCATCCCTTGCAGTTCTGCAATAAGGAGGGAGGCAGCAACAACAGCCTTAAAACTGCGATAGATACAAATAATGAAGCCTGGAGATCTAGTTAGCTACCCAAAAATCTTCGAAGACTTCGAAGCACTGTTTGAAGTGGTAAAGAAAAACTACCAAATGGGTAAAGAAGTAGAACCGAAACTGGAAGATGGTTTACTCGTATGGTATATGGATGGATTTAGCATAGATGAAAGGGCAAGACTGGGACTTCCTAGGCCCAATTTTAGGCTATCCAAATCTCTTGGAAACGCTATAACTATATTTCAGGCAGAAATGCATGCTACAGACATTAGTAATTTATAATTGATTGTATATTTATATTACTAATACAACAATAAAATATATAACAATCAAAATTGATCTCAGATAAAAACGTCGTAATATCTCTTATAAAATTAGGAATGCTATTAGGAAAATTAGCAATAACACATTTGAATCACGTAAACATTTCATATAAATCTCTAAACATTACTCATGTATTCCGCTTTGTTTATATTAAACTTCTTCTAGATATAAATCTTTAATAGCTCGATTAATTTGCTTTGTCCATCGGTAGTCTTTAATTGTTCCACAATAGAAAAAACAAATCGTTGAATAGTAAAAAGGAGCACACAAGATAGGCAGAAGTATACCTCGAGAGACTGAGTCATGCTACTAACGGATAGGTATAAATGGTAAAAAAAATTGGTAAGGTTAACACTCTACTTTAGATTTATACTTTAGGATTTAGCGCCACAACGCTTTTTTGAGAGAAAACTTTTCTAGGTAGGTTTAAAAAAATTGCTTTTTAGATCGGCAATATTTTGTTTGTTTACCTCTTTCATTATTTATACATGGATTTTTTTATAAATTACTGTGATGTAATTATTAGCGCCCCTACATGTTTGTCTTTGTCCTTGTCAGAATCATAGCATTGGCTCTCCGTAGGTTTTTCTGTTCAAAGTGTCTTGAAATAAAAGTCCTAAAATCTTAAAACTTAATACATAGTTTTCTCTTGGTGTAAGCAAGACACCATAGAACTTTCCAATAGATCATCTTTTACATCTTATGTTCTGCTATATTTTTCTTGAAAGAGAAGTAGAGTTTTGGAACTAGTACATAGGTTCTTCTTGGTCTTATCGTGTTATCATAGATTTTCTTTTTTTTAAGCAAAGTCCTAGAATCTTGAAATTCGGTACCTAAGTTCATATTTATTTACATAGACTACTCAAGTTTATACTCAAAAAAAACCCTCTTGAAATTTTGGAAAAAGGTCCTCTTCGTCGAGTTATATTCTTAAACCTTTTTAGGCGTCGGACTGGGTTTCTAACCCTCTTTTACCGACTTCGTCAATTTTTTATTAATCACACATAGGTAATCAAAGATATTTAAGTTATACGCACAGCTTTAATGATTATGCTGGGTTCTTCGGTACATGGAGATATTCATAAATTTTAAATGCAAATAATAAAAGCAAATTGAATAAAAAATGAAAATAAGAATTACATGAGTAAACCAGTCAAGTTAAATTATTTTCTTAAAACACAACACGTTTAAACAGTTAAAGCTGTTTATATTATTTCTTTAATATAACATACTAAATAATTCTTAATTATAGTTATGTTTTCTTCATTTATTACATTGAATTAAATCAAATTAGTTTTACAGAAAAACTAAAAATAATCAAGAAACACATAATACTTCAAATATTATATTTTGCAAACATTTTTTGCTTTTTAATTTCTGAATTTGGAATAATTATCTTTTTATAAACCCTAATTTAATAATTATTGTGAAACATTGACTGTTTCCCCTACGGCAACTTTTTCTGTGCACGCGCCTGTAGTTATTTGGTTGTTGGAGTGTATCAAAATATTACAATATTGTAAAATAGATTTTATTATTGTATGAGTATGCATCCACAATATGTTCTTCGAGGTGGGGACGTTAAGAAAGCAAAAACTTTTGACATATATATCTTGCTGTTATATATACGCATCGAGTAAAGGGTAGAAACAACAGTCGCTCGAACCTCGTATGTGTGCAATGATGAGCCTCCAAGTAAGTGAACAGTGATTCTTTGTTTATTTCTTGTGGTGCATCGATGTTAGTCAATAACATTGTCGGTAAACACAAATATATTCTAGAAAATTCTAAAATTTTTGGAGTTCTTCTTTTTATCAAATGTACCGCAGGTCTTCATTTTTCTTTTGTTTTGTATTTTAACATATGTTTATTATTTTGTTCTTAATAAATTGTATCACTGTTAGTAAACAAAGAGAATATCTTGGCGGTTTATATCCATTTAAACTTTCAGTTTTTTTTTAAATATCGCTTTTATAATATTCATGCTAAGATAACCATAACATTGGAAATAAAATTTCTGGTATAACTAAAATGCTGTCTTTTCTCACGTTTTACCTTGGTTTGGGCCATGGTCTTGTTAAATTGCTGTTTATCAAACTTGCTATCTTTTATTATTTTCTCCCTCTTTCTACTTAGCAAAAGCCGCCATAAAGTCAGCTAATTTAAGGGTAAGCATGGTGACATTTGTTCAGCTTTTTATTCTTGTTATTTTTTTAATTTTTAAAATGATATTTAAAAGTAATTAATACCATTTATTATTGCATATACTACTGCAATATTTAAAATGAATATTATTTATACTCATTTCTTTCTTAAAGAGACAAACAATTACATCGATTAGATTCGTTAATTGCCACTATCGCTGATACCACTTTTTCAAAAACAAACTTCATTGATTTTATCCTTAATTTACGCTGTTAGTTGGCATTATACAGCAGTTGTCAAGTATTTCGAGCTCTTAAATACTTTCCATTCGTGTTGTCTATTCGAAAAGTGTAAAATATTTAATATAAACGACTACAATTGTAAATGGTCGATAGTTGTTTATTATTTATCTCTAACAAAAGAAACTGTAAAAGTGCAAATAACTGAATTTTTAACACGATAAGTTTCCCTGTGCATTAAGACTAGCCTTCTAATTTTCTTCAGTCAATTATTAAATGGATAAATACACGACACTCTTATATTATAATTAAAAGTTAAAACTTTGTTTTATTGAGCGACCCTACTCATCGAGTTGTCTGAAAAAAAAAGACTGTTACATGGCTTTCATGGCACAAACAGAACACAAGATAAATAAAAAAATAGATTTAAATCATCTTAGTGAAATGTTAGAAGAAAAGATTCTTCTAACATTTGATAAACAACACATGAATTTTTATAACATAAACATAAAAAAAAATTCAAATATAAATCAAAATTCTTTCATCTCATGCTTAAAATTTATGTGGCGATAAATCCATTATTTTCTTAAAATTTAAATTTTCACCTTGTGCTAAAACTACTTTAATAGTGCCCAAATAAAAGACTTACTTACTATGTGAGATAAAACATCAAGCCAATACCGTGGCCACAAAAACCTTCTCCTTGGTCTATACTGAGAAACGAAAAATTTTTAAAGGTACCTAAGTATTTATCCTTTAAACGTCAATAAACTAAACATGTGGTTCAGACTATTCATAGTAATTAAATAAAATCATTACAGAGGAAAATAGTCCATGCATTTAAAATAACAGTTTTGTGTAAAATAGATGTTTGTGTTAAGATATACTTTGTCGTTAAGATAAACATCGATCAATGGTCATTTGATATCTCCGCTGTAAGTCAGCCATTAATTCGTACGCTGTAATTTTGGTATAACTTTTTGCAGTTTTAACTAACAATCGATCTTCAGCTGCAATTGTATAACGTCCAGTTATAAATTTAAATTAGCTAAACTCTAAAACGCCGCCATAATAGACTTAAAACACTTTAGTATAAACCTAAAGCCCAATACATTCCAGTATAATACATGTGTGTGTGCCTTTTTTGCTTGTGGATAGTCTTACAAGATGATCAGAAATTCGATGAACTGGAGCTTCCGTTTGTAAATATTATTTCTGATTTGTACTTCTCTTATAATCTGCTCAATAATGATGTTTAAAAAACAGCTTATAATTAATGTACTTACCGCAGCACCGTGTTTACTTAAATCTTTTCAGTTTATTTACCATTTACGTTGACTATGGTCAGAGCTCGTCCCTGCATTTATTTTATCACTTCTTTCTATTTTCTTAGTTCACATGTATCTTTCTTTCAGTCTTTTAGCTTTTTTTAACTCTTTCTTTTTAACTGTTAGTTCTTTAACATTACTGTCCCTTAATTGTGAAAGTTTTACAATGCCCCATAATACTTATGTCTTTGTTTGTTTTCTTTCTAATCCGCTCCATTTTCGTATTATTTCTGCTATAAATGTAACACTGATCGCTCTTATCTTCCCAATGGGTAAATTTTAAAGAGTTTCTCAAACTGGTTTCTTGTGGCATGTTTAAGTTAAATATTATTTATATAATATTGTTTTATATTACTTTGGTTTTGACGTTTCGAAACGGCAATCCTCTTTTTGTGTTTTTATAAATAATACATCTATTTAATATCTAGATCTAATATTCAGAACAAAACATTCTACTATAGTCTGTTCGCTTAGCTTTAACATATTTTAGCACAGTCGTTATCGGAAACATATAACACAAAACTTCCTAACTCTCACTATTAACAGCTTAACTAAACTTACTGTTGCATATTTATTTCACTGAACAAATAAAAATAATCATGAATATTGAGTGGAAATTCACTCATTTTCATTAAAAACTTTCCAATTGTACCTAAATACGAATCTATAAATGTCTCGACAACATCAAAAATAATAATTTAAACCTTTGCTTTAATTGATGAAGTCTTATTTTGTTAAAAAACATATATGTGAACAATTTATTATTTTTAAGGTATACATTAATACTGGCTATGATTGGCACGTATGCAAATTAATACAATCAACACTATTAGGTTAGATAAATAATATTTATTAACACATTAGCAACAAAAACTTTTCTCTGGCTTTTCTCATTACCCAATTAAATTTTTAATTCTTCCACTGTCGTTAAACTATAATAAATAATGCTTTAAAACGCACAAAATATTTTCACACTATAATTAGCAAGAGAATCACTTTATTAATTCTAATTTGTAATTTAATACCTCTTGTGTCTTGACTCTTAGAAAATATGTAGTTAAGAAATTATAATGTAAAATTATTTATTTTGTTAAGGCGTAGGTTAAATTATTATTTTTAAAAGAAAAATAAATTTTTACCAATTTTAAAATTACTTTACTTTATTTTAGTACTGTGGATTGGTCCTTTTGGCGGGTCTTTTGTTGGTTTCCGCCCACCCTGGAACCGACTCGAAGGCTGAAGCTAAGGATGATAAAGTTTCTTCAGTAGCCGAGAAGAAACAGGAAAAACGTGGTCTTCTTGATCTTGGTTACGGTGGAGGACACGACTTTCTAGGAGGAGGTCTTGAACTTGGTCATGGTTTGGATTTGGGTGGACATGGTGGTTTTGACGGAGGGTATGGTGGATTAGACGATGGTCATATCAAACACGTTACCATCACCAAAGAAGTTAAAGTACCTGTTCCAGCACCATATCCCGTACATATCGAAAGAAAAGTACCAGTTCCAGTGCCAGTTAAAGTACCTGTACCAGTAGATCGTCCATATCCAGTACATGTACCTAAACCATATCCAGTTCACATAGAGAAACCAGTACCATACCCAGTAATTAAGAAGGTACCATATCCCGTTAAAGTACCATACAAAGTACCTGTGCCAGTACCTCACCCAGTACCTGTTCCAAAACCAGTACCATACCCAGTTCACAAGCCAGTGCCATACCCAGTTAAGGTACCCGTAATCGTAGAGAAGAAAGTCCCAGTTATTATCCACGGCCATGACGATCATGGATTTGGAGGCGGTTTTGATGGTGGTTTGCATGGTTTTGGAGGTGGGCTAGACCTGCACAGCCACCATTATTAAACCAAACATTAAAAAAGTGACTGTTGTTTCTATTTCATTGTTTTAATTTTCATGTTTATTTTGTTGCACCGTTGTTTTCTTCTCATCTTTTACTTGTAATATAAATTTATTTATACACTTTTTTCTACTTTAATAAAAATATTTTTGTAAAAACGTTTTTATTTAATTTACTGACAACTAAATGTATCTCAATTTATACCAACAAACAGCATGCCAAGAGGAAAATATTTTAATATTTTGTTGGGAGAATAATCTTTAAAATATATCACTTTGTGTTATTCCCATTTAAGTCTTCGGTTTTCTTAGGGGACCCCGTTAAGACCCCATAATTTTTAAGTACTTCGTCGATAAGCTTTTTTATACCAACATATAAAATCCAATCAGTAAACCTAAAAATCTTTGGACTACATCGAGTATAAGTCGAGTACTTTGACTAGATATTGGTGAGTCAAATATAATCAAAAATTATATTTCAGTTCCATTTAAAAAAAAAACGAATGCAATAAGGCTATAAAAGACAATACAAATCCTGTCAAAAGTAAAGTTTAAGATATTGAAATTCAAAGTCAAACTATTAATAAAATCTTGTAAAATAATTCTTTTAAACCGATTATATTTTGCAATGTACTATGTATACTCCTGTAATGGAAGTTCAAAATAATTTTCGACCTTGACAAAAATTAAATTAAATTGTTCTCCTTTGTTACTTAAAATATATCCAAATGAAGGTTTGAGAAACTTAAGAAGATTGTGTTTTAGAAAGGCAGAACAAGTAAACGAAGATATTACTTTTTAAATCCATTAAAATGCTAAAGTGGCTATAGCCCAGGCCAAAGAAGACCTTGAGTTTGTTTCTACAAGGGTATTATTGTAAACCGTTTTTTTAATTACCATATTGGCAGATTTCAGTAAGAGCCTAAGAAGGTATCCATTAAATTCTGGCAGGCAACGGTGTGGAAAATCTTTTTTTGACATCTAACGTCACGGAGCAAGACACCCTGGCATCTTTCAGCCGAGTAGGATACTAGGCCAGAAGATTTCAGGATAGTTGCTAGATTAACCGTATTCTGGCTAAAACTTTAACTACCGTTCTAGAGTAGTGGTCTTTCCACTCAATGAACAACTAAAATAAAAAAACTAAAAACTTACAAATAACCTTACCGATCACCGTAAATCAGAAAATATTTCCATAATATAATAAACTAATAAATAATAATAACTATAAATTTGAGATCCCTGGTTTAGTTCTCTTCTCTGTCTTCCTGATTCTTCTTCTTCATTAACAGTGTACTTCCATCCATTCTTTCTCTTCTCTCAATATGTTAGTACTACCTGGGCCTCCAATGTTTGGCATTAGCCGTAGCAACGCCTGCAGATTCCGAGATATTTCCTCCTCACACCTCCCCACCTTCCACTATAAAGCAAAGATAAGATTTGTCCTGACTTCTTTGAGAACTAACACCTTAGTTTTCTGAGGGGCTAATTGTAGATCGTTGTCTGAGATCGCATTCACCATGTTTGGTTTCTGAGTTGCCTTCACAACCAGTGCGAGATCATCGGCATAAGCTACAAAAGTGCATTCCCTTGGCATCTGTAGCCTCATCATCCTACCGTACAGTACATTGTACAGGATGGGACCTAGTACCGAACCCTGCGGAATACACTGCGACAAACGAATGCCGGTATCTTTTTCTCTTATGGACCTGTTAGTAAAGTATCTCACAATAACGTTAACCGGCCTCTCAATAATGTTTAATTCTCTTAGCCTGGACATGATTTTTTCCTTAATGTTGTTCTAAAGGCACTTTTGACGTCAAGATCATCTCTTTGTGTCCTGCGTGGATAAAGAGGTGACTTATGTTATCACATCTATGGTGGACCTTTTGGCCCTAAAACCACATTGGCGGTCGCTCAGCGCATGCTTTTCTTTCATCTTTTGCTCATGGCGACCTTTCACAAGCTGCTCGTACAATGTAGCTGTCAAACCAAGAGGGTAGATTGGCCGAAATCGCACTTTTTACTCTTCACCTTTAACTTTCAGGATAATAACAACGTTAGCCTCTTTTAACAGTGTTGAAAATTGCTGTTTTTCAAGGAGTTTGTTTAGCAATCTCAGGAAAACCTGCGGGTATCTTAGTGCGACGGCGAGTCTTGCTGTCTCCGTCATGACTTCATCTATGCAAGGTGTCTTTCATATCTTCATCCGTTTAACAGCCTCGCTCAGTTCTAACTCAGTGAAAGGTTTCGCCTCTACGATACCAGTAACCCTGTCACGCCTATCCTCTACCTGACGAAAGAGTTCCCTCCTTCCTTATTAGGATTAGATAGAATATTAAACGAAGTTTATCCTCTTTAGATGGGAGATAGGTGTTGAGTAGTTTTTTCCTTTCAATTCGGTACAGAGAATTTTGCACCCCAGCTACCAGATATCCCTTTTAAGATCCTAAAGCTGATTACTTCATCTTTTTCTCTTAGATCTTCTTATCTCATTCCTGTATTCCTCCTGCATTCACTTTAGCTCATTTATTTTCTCTACTAATTTCCTGCTTGTACTCTTCTTAATCTCTTACATAAGGTAAACCTTACCTGACCTCATCGAAAAAAATATATAATCATTGTTTGGAGGAGCTACACATATTTACCCTTAACAATAAACTATAATGGTCACACAAGAAAAGAAAATATAAAGAAGCATAATAAGGTTATAGGTTATAGGATCTCTAAATTTAATACCTCCTCTGCACTGAAGTTCCTTTAATCTTTAAATCTGGGTCTTAAAATACTATATATGGTTCATCCCGATATCCGTAAATGAGACCTGGCTATTTATAGTAATATTTCTAAGTGGCGTAGAAGCTTTTTAAATGTGTTGTCTTAAGTCATATCGTAAGAAATGAAAAATAAAAGCTAATATCATGTTAATTGTCAAAATTTAATGACAGAGAAAACTTGATCATAAGTAAGATTCATTGTTCATAGTTGAAGAAAATTGGTGCGACATACCTAATAATAATATAATAATCATAAAAACGGAAGTGAGATATTTGTGCACATCGATTTGTGTATCGATAAGCAGCAGATGGCCTATACAACGTATAGTATTTGGAATCAAAAGAAGACTGAAATTATATATGGATACAAAAAATGATAGCTAAACAAATCATCATTGGTCATCAGCAAAGAAAAAATGTAAAAAAACTTCTGCTCTTTCACCGTTATTCTTATGCTTCGGCATTGTCTCATCTATTTCTGTAGGGACCAGTTTATATAAATCTTAAATGGTAGGTGATAAACGTCATTCTTGTCTCAATACATTAGTTGTTTTAAACAAAAAGGAATTCCCCGTTCCTATTTTAATTCGTGCGGAATTCTTCCCATAATAATGTTGAGTAGTGTTAATACGAATTCGATTATTATGGTTATTATATGGTTATTTTCCTTTACAACTGTAAAATCGGCACGCTATTATATGGTTTTTTCAATTCTTTCTAGGTCTAGGCTATATAAGTTTATTTATTTCTTTGGTGTCTTTTTTCTACGACGATTTTCAACGTAAATAAATTATCTATGGTGAATTGTTCAACTATGAAACCTGTTCTTATTTCAGGTTGTTTGTCTTTAATGTATATTCCTAACAAGTTTCGTAATATTGTGAAGTATAATCTACCTAATTTTGATATTACTATATTTTATTTTGATTCTATTTTGATATTACTAATTCCCCATAATTTGCAGGATCAGCTTTTGTGCCTTTCTTATGTACTGGAGAGATGCAGCACTGTCTCCATTTTTTTGGAACTTTTTCGCTATTTCGGCGTTTAAACATCTTTAAAATAAAAAGGAAAAGACACTTAAGATTTAATTTCACCTATAGTGCGTCAATATAGCCGCTTATACGTATTTAGAGCCTAATATAAGCCTAATAGGTTTTGTCAGATTGGCAATTCATTATCGCTCTGAACGTGAACATAAATCTCTTCTGTCTTAGGAAGCAACTCAACATGGCTTCGAATGGACGCAAATAGCGACATCTGATATTAAAATCCGTAAACTAATTTTCGAAACCAAATTCTTCAAACTAATCTGCAAAGCATTTAAATAAGTCTTTGTGAACCAAATTTTTTTATTGGCTCTGGATATATTTTAGCTAAGCCTGGATATTTTTTCACATTTCATCTCCTTAACTGCATCTCTCGCCTGTTCTAGTTTTTCTGTTATTTCTATTGGTTCTCTTTTTTCAGACAGCAGATCTTCTCTGTGCTTTATCCATGTTTCGTTACATAAATATCACACTTATTCTACCGTTGTTTTTATTTGTTGCTCTAACAGTTTGTATGGCTCTCCACGCTTCTAAATTATTTGTGCCTCCTAGATGGTTGTCTTATACTCGCACTTTTTTCCAGACTTATTTGTTTGTGATTACTTCTTCCCTTAGTTCTTTATGTAACTCTTTATATCGTATGTTTGTTTGTCTGTCTTTCTTTTATCATGATACAGTTTCTTCTTTTTCTTGATCTTCTCTACGATTTTCTGGTCCTACCAATAAGGTTTGTTTTTTCTTGGATACTGATTTCTTAAGCTTTCTTCATCTTTAAAAGCCTTTTTTACATGCCTCTTTTTATTTACTATTTTATTAACTAAATCTTAAATATGTTGCCTGTGTGAGTCCATGAAAAAATAGATAGAATAAATAAGAATAACAGATAAGACAACCAGATTATTCTATCACCAACGACCGCTTTCGCATACTATAATTTGCTATGCATCTTCAGGTCAACGGTACATGGTAAACTAAATGCTGAAAATATAATAACCCGTATTAGGGTGCTGACTGGTACAATGTTTATAGCAATTATGCCAATATTATGTGTGCAATATATTACACATGAAATTTAAATTAATTGAAATTAAATAATAATACTTACATGCTGATACAAGGAGAATTAATAAATTAAAAAAAACATTATTAACTGTTAATTAAAACTATTAGTTATCTACTTCTTTACTAAAATTGATACGGTTGCCGTTCAAACGGCATAAAACCTCAAAAAGGTATTGCTATCGTAGCTGCTACCTAATAAAACACATTAAACAACAGTTAAATACTGGTTACCTAAAATCTAGCCAGAAAATGCTATCTTACTACAA